ATCACCTGTTTGGCTGGAGCGGAGTCCTGCGCTCTGCTAGCCTGCTGTCCTTCTGCAGGCATTGTTATTGTCATTGTCATTTTCAGAGCCACACCCACCCATTTGTCCCGCTCACCAGCCATTGCCTTGCCTGCCATGCCCTGTCCCACACTGCTTGGCAGCTGTTATTTCACGGCCGGGGGCAGAGCTAGGAATCCCCTTTGAATTCACCTGCCGGGCTGCGTCTGGGCCGTCGCCAAGGCTCCGGAGAAGGAACGCACGGGACTTGGGTGGCCTGCCACATGCTGTCAGGGGTGTCACGTTCTCCTGGGTCCCAGTGTAACCCGAAATGCCACTGCGAAGCTTTTATGCCTCAGACAAGTACGATGCTTTGATCATCTGAGAGTTTGCGTAATTTAAGAATTTATAAGAACACGTGTCCAGGAGTTTTGATCCAGGCAATAGAATGATAACGTCTAGGACTTGGTGAATAAAAATGGAGGCTCCTAAAAGTTACTACATTGACACCCTTGTTAAAGCTTTGAACTTTTTCAGAGAAAAAAATTACAAATCTGATAAACCTCATTTGAGAGGCTGGATGGTATCTGTCTACATATTTTTACAGAAAAGATGTGGCCCACATATGTAGCAGGCTTCTTCCAAACTTTCTTTCTTCACTCGGTTGTCCTGTCACTTGAAATGCTCATTTTCTCTCTCCACAGACACTGTTGACTCTCAGGCACAATTCAGCACCCACCCCTTCCCTGAAAGTCAGATCAGTTCTCCTTCAGAGTAGGATGAGGAGTGTAGGCTCAGTCTAGATCGGCGGGGCGATTGTCAGGCTTTGCGGCTTACTAATTAAGTGACTTTGAGAAAGCCACTTGAGCCCCAGTTCTCATTGCCTTCATTTTGGGAGTGGTATTGTCTCTCATTTGTAGGGTTGTTACAAAGATCAGAGTAGATAATCCATAAAAGTGTTGGGTAGACATTCACGATAGAGAAATACATGGCAGTACTTCCTCTCTGTGGCCTTTGGATATACAATTACAGAAAAACTCACTAATATAAATTGGGAAATAGATAATGGAGAGCTAGCAGCGAAAACCCAGTCATTGCTTCGTGTTCTCTATAGTTCATCCCCCAACAGCCCTATAAAATATTTTGATTTTAGAGATGGGGAAGCTGAAGCAGAGGCAGCTTACATCCCCTGTTTAAGAACACACAGCTGTTAGGGGGTGAAGCCAGGATTTACCCCAGACTTTCTCTGGAGCTTCTAAACCATGAAGTAGTCTGACCTTTCACGATGGGCAGGGTGACGGAGGCAATGTGGTTCCTTCATTTGACCTTATTTTTCCCCCAAGTCTACTAAAAATACTGTGTCTCTCACCAGTGTCCTTGCATCTTATTGTCCCATGCACATAGGGGTTGCTGGTTCGATTCCCAGTCTGGACACATGCCCAGGTTGTGGGTTCCATCCAGATGGGGGGCATGCAGGAGGCAGCTGATCGCTGTTTTGCTCCCACATTGATCTCTCTCTCTCTCTCCCCCCTTCCCTCTCTCTCTGTCTTTAAAAATCAATAAAACATCTTTTAAAAAATAATAGCACAGGGCCACATATGTTTAACTAACATTTTCTCCTGTACACTGGTACTGTTCTTTTTCTGCACTTATTTCTCAGACACTGATTGGGGTGGTGGAACTTTTGGCGCCCAGTTCAGTTACCAGAAGTGTCCCCAGGATTGATAGTACTGAGCACGAAAGTTGAGGGAGATGTCAATCCACTGCCTGCCTTTGCAAATTACAGGCAGCGTTTCAGAAATGGAGCAGAGTCGCTAATCTTAGATTGCCTATTTTGAGTCATGACTTCCTATGACAAAGTAGGAGTTATATGGTAGGAGAATTCTAATATCCAGAATGGAAACCCAAAATATACACAGAGGCACCACAATTAAAAATTAATGTTGGAGAGCGCTTCTAGATGCTAGATGGGATGCTGATTCGTGAGTGGCTTAATAAAGATCTTCAAATTTAAAAAAAAAAATTAACGTTAGGCCCTGGCCAGGTGGCTCAGGAGGTTAGAGCGTTGTCCTGACATGGCAAGATTGTGGATTCAATCCCTGGTCAGGGCACATACAAGAAGCAACCAATGAATGCAGAAATATGTGGAACAACAAAATGATGTTTCTCTTTCTCTCCCACCCCCTCCCTCCCTTTCTCTCTCTCCAAAAATCAATTAAAAAAAAATAAAGTTAGTCCTTGGATTCTCTAGGGACAAAGAGAAGCCAGCCATTGAATAGTTTGTTTGAAGACAAACATTAGTTCCTATTTAATAGTAGGTTTGAATAATCCATTGTTTAAGTCTTCTTGTCATACACACACACACACACACACTAGTGTGTATATGTGCCTAGTATACGAGATTCGTGCACGGGGAGGGGGAGTTTCCCTCAGCCTGGCCTGCCTGCACCCTCTCCAATCTGGGATCCCTCAGGGGATGTCTGCCGGTTTAGTGGGATCAGGCCTAAACTGGCAGTCAGACATCCAGACATCCCTCTCACAATCCAGGACGCTGGCTCCTAACTGCTCACCTGACTGCCTGCCTGATTGCCCCTAGCCACTCTGCCTGCTGGTCTGATTGCCCCCAACTATCCCCCCTACTGGTCTGATCGCCCCAACTGCCTCCAGCCAGCCTGCTTGCCCCCAACTGCCTCCCCCACTAGCCTTACATATATGTGTGTGTATGTGTATATTTCAAAACTTATTTTCCCCAGCTCTCAGAATTTACATATTACATATTAGCTGCTTTTATATTAAGCCTTGTTTTTAATTTAAAGTATCACCCTTGCAAAATTTTAATTGTCAACAAGTAGAGAATAGGATAGTGTGACTCAAGGTGCAGGTTTTCTCCTAGAAGCAGCTTGTGCTGATTGATGAAGCTGATCTATACAAGGGCTGTGGCTTTCAGATCTCTCACAGAGAGAAACTAAAGAAAGATGTGAGAGAACTCACTGTGCGTTTGTTTTGCTGTCTTACAAGAAACACCATACAAACATCTCTGCCACTTCTAAACATTTCTCTAAATATGATAACTTCCAGAAAACAAAACCACAATTGACCATTTTTTTCTCTAATGGGTTTTCTATTTTTAACATAAAAATGGAGAGAGAAGTATTAGTTGCTTTAGAATACTTCGCATTTAAGATGAGATATCCCAGGTGGTACAAAAGAGAGAGTTTGGATGTAATAGAAACTACATAGAACTGACTGACATCAAGCATGCATTCATAAATGCACTCATATTTATGTCCAATCAAGTGGCTACAAAGTCAGGCATCCTGTTGCTTCTGCAATGCCCTTAAAATCCCTGATCATCCAAGTCCAAATGCAACCTTTTTAGGTAACATCAGAGGCTCCTGGTCACGTAGAGAAGGGTGTGTATTTAGAGGAGGGTATATAAGGTAACAAATGCAGAAACTGAATAGTCAAAAGAAACTTTCATGCATGGACCAAGCCTCTAGTACAGGGGTGGGCAAACTTTTTGACTCGAGGGCCACAATGGGTTCTTAAACTGGACCGGAGGGCCGGAACAAAAGCATGGATGGAGTGTTTGTGTGAACTAATATAAATTCAAAGTAAACATCATTACATAAAAGGGTACGGTCTTTTTTTTCAATAGTTTTATTCATTTCAAACGGGCTGGATCCGGCCGGTGGGGCCGTAGTTTGCCCACGGCTGCTCTAGTAGGTGATCAGTACATTTGTATCCAGAAGAGGGAGCGCACCCCGGAAGTTATTTGCTGTGTTGCTAATAGTGGCAGATCATTTTGATGACACCATGAAAGTGGAAGGAGGAGGGGCGACAGGGATTAAAGGATAAGGTGTACTGCTACTTTAAAAGTATGCACGCCTGGCCCCTCCTGATCCCTCCCCCTGCTCCAGGCACCTGCTGGCAGCTGGGGGAGCTCAGTTCCAGGAGGGCCTCCCAGCTGACTGCGCTGTTTCAGGTAACCCCGTGTTTGCTGTGCCGGGTACCGTAGTGGGCAGCCAAGGCTTCCTGGCAGCCCTTCTGCCGTTGCAGCCTATTTGCTAGAAGTAACGAGGGTCACTGTGGTGTTGCCAGGCAACGAGGGACTGGGGTCCTGTGAAGAGCATTTGTTGCACTGAGGGGACCGGTTGAGATGCAATAAAGAAATGGTAACTGGGCTTATTTGTCAATACAGTTACTTACACAGTATTAGGGGGTCCCTATTTAACCTGCCCATACTAGTCAGAGGAGGAAACAGGAGTGTAAGCGTTTGCTAAATGCTAAGGCCCGGGACAGACAGATGGCGTTGGGCTGCTAAGCTGCTTTGCTGGGAGCTCAGAGTTGCTGCATGTGGGGGCGGAGGGGGAAAGGCCCCCAGCACTTTGCAGGCTTCATTCTGGCACGAGCAGGTCAGCTCTGTGTTACAGCTCGGGGTGCGGCGCGCAGAGCAAACCCACCGGCTCTTTACCTGGTGCCGCAGGTAGTGCTGGGTCCTGGGGGGAGAGTAACCGTCTGGGTTTATTGTGGTGAAAACGTTAATAAAGATAGATGCCTGTGTACATATTTATAAGTCTGGTTGCCCTGTGGGCTTGAGAGTGCCTGATGTGCTCAGCAAAATGAGGATATTGGCCCAAAGAATGAGTATTTGCCAAAAGAAAGTCCTTCCCAGTGTTTGTTGGTTTAGAAAGCTCAGTGGTGGTTCTTGTCACGGGCTCCGAGTCCTCTTTCTCAGGAAGAACTCAGGTTCTCCGGATGCGGCGGCTGTCACCTGACACTCTGCTTCTGCTTCCCAGACACCAGCTGCTCCCCATGCCTTGCCCATCGCCCGGGACGTCAGTGGTGTTCCCTCGGGGTGAAACCGCCTCTGCACTTTCCCGAAAAAGCAGGATCTCCAGGCTCCTTAATGCGCCCGGCGTTGGTGTGTTGCTGGTGAATGGCGTTGGCCTCCTGACTTACGTAGGGATGCTCTGTCGGGACGAGGATGCTTCTCTGTAAACATGAATGGCCTGACTCTCTCCCTGAGCTGGGGCTTCTTGTTGCACATCACGGAGACCTTGATCGTGGCCTATTTTGCGCTCATCTCCTGGGCTGACTCGCAGGGCCTCTTCCCGAGGCTGGAGAACGTGGGAGCCTTCAAGACCGTGTCCGTCGTGCCAACCCACGCCACGTGCGGACTCCCAGACCACAGCACGTTTTGCCGTAGCTCTGCGGTCGCCGAAAGTCTCCAGTCCTGCTCCCAGAGGCTTTGCGTTCAGGATTGCCCCCACAGATCTGCACCCCCAGCCTACACAGCCCTCCTTTCCACAGGCCTGGGGGGCTGCGTGGCTGCAGACACGCAGGATCTGCGCCCCGACTCCCCTCAAAATTCCACGAGTTTTATGTTCGGAAATCACACGAGCTGCATTTCTTCTCCTCCTCCTCCGAGGCTGACGGCATCATTTACATTGGCTGTGTGGTTGAAACCCGAGCGGGAAGGTGTAATGTAAGTAGTCGAGTGAGTGTACACTTTCCTGGGAGCCTGAAAAATCAGTTGTAGCCAAGATGCTTACAACTGGAATTCCAGACCAGAAATGAAGGCTCAAGCTGTGAAACCCAGGCCTTTGAAGCTCAACTCCAATGGTAGTCTTTTCTACTCCAGAGTACACTGCAAACATTCCCCCTAAATTTAACAAGTGCTGTTTCCTTTCTATAATGAAGTGAGGCCTCCGAAAAGCATGTGTTAAAATGGTTCATTGCAGGCAGTCATGTTTACACACCTGACTTCTGGGTTTCCTGGCAGTTCATTTAGCTCCACCTTCGTCTTAGCCACCAGAGCAGATTCAGGCTCAGTGAATTTTAGGACATGGGGACTGGTAGTACAAAGAATTGATATTTTCAAAGTTTTAGTCGAAGTTTGCATAAGTAATCTGCTCCTACTAGAGTATGAACTTGTCATTAGGCAGGTAGCTCTCTGAGAGCTTAGTGCGTCAGGGATCTGTGTGTGTTTCCGGTATCCTGGCTTTCCCAAGAGAAGTTTGTTTGACTCATGGGAAATGCCCAGTGTTAGGAGTTGAATAAAGGAATAATCCTCCATCCTTGAAAAGGGCATAACTTTTAGCCCTTTACCTTGTGGAGTTCTCATCTCTTAGGAAATATGTAGGGAAGCATGAAAGGTTCTCAAAGCTATTATGTCGTGGATCCCAGTAGAGATGCCTTCAGTGAGTTTGGAGTGGGGCTTCCTTAACCTCATGTCTTATCAGTTCATATGATCACATGCTTTTCATTCTGTATTAGTCTCTAAAACTGACATCTAATGTGTTTTCCTAAGTGTCTAGAGCCAGTCTGGAAATTGGAATAAGTAGGACAGTCTGGAGGCCTGTTTTCTTATCTTTTGTCTTCCCGTAGGACAGTGGTTCTCAACATTCTGGCCCTTTAAATATAGTTCCTCATGTTGTGACCCAACCATAAAATTATTTCATTGCTACTTCATAACTGTAATGTTGCTACTGTTATGAATCATAATGTAAATATCTGATATGCAGGATGGTCTTAAGCGACCCCTGTGAAAGGGTCGTTCGACCGCCAAAGGGGTGCGACCCACAGGTTGAGAACTGCTGCTGTTTTTAGGGCCTTTGTCTCTTCCCCATGTGACCTTTTCATTGTGTGAGACTGTTGGCCAAATATCTAAAAACTTGGGAAATAAACCAGATTAAGTCTTACAGTCTTGTAAACAAGTAGGCTTTAGATGTCTTGGGTGTTTGGTTTTAATTTGCCAAGTGAGAATTGGCATATTTTCATTAAAACAAATTTGGGAGTGAAAATCATCAGAAACCATCATCTCAATTTCTGTGTCACCCTAAAAGAAAACCCTGCTTTCTTACTGTTTGAAATGTCAGTAAGTCCAGACAACTCCATTTATGTAACTAGAGTACCATCTTTAAAAACGATCTCTTGACAAGTATGAGTAGGACAAAGTATTTTTTTTCCAAAGGATATATCTGTACCAAACCCATCTCCTATTGGCATCGCTTTTGTATAAATAAGACAGGGGAGTATTTATAGAGGCCATAGCACATGGCTTACAGTTTTGGGAGTTCTACGCATCAAGGTCATTTCCATTCTCAAAATGAAAATACTTATGGGAATTGGGGAAATTTCGGAGTGGTTGCACTAGATAAGTAAAACAAACAAAACTCGGATTATCCAATTATTGTTTATCCAGGAGCAGAATAAATCCAGTTCCTAAATATTTTGCTACCTGCCTTCCTCTCACATTCATTATCTACTAAAGCTAGTATGTTTACAAGCAAACAAAATAGCAAGGAAGATAATAACATATTAAGAAATGCATTTTCAGTAAGCTTGGGGAAATGAGCCTGCATTTGGTAAGTTCATCTTTGAGTAATGGTCAAATGCTAACATGTAGATTGAAACTCAAGAAAAAGGAATAGAGGCAGGTTTTTCTTCGATTGTTTAAGACCTGCAATCATAGAATAAAGAGAGACTTTCATTTCCAGTGACTTAGAAATAACCACCCAGGGAAGGGTTAAATCATAGTAGAATTTCTATAAAACCTTATTTCTACTTTATATAAAACATTTATGTCAACTTAATCTATTTGCCCAAAATGTATATTTACTCTCTTTATCACCAAATATATGTACAAAATATTATAAAATAATGGCAGTAAAATAGTGACTGTTAAGTGTTCTCTAAGCTTACTCTTATGTCTAAACTCTAGGAAATAATAAATGCAAGTGAGAAGGAATAGTTTGTGAAAAGTGTGCTATTTAAGGAATGTTTTAAAACATCTGTAGCAAGAATTCTTGGTTGGACCAATCTTCCATTTGCCCCTTCAATCTTTAATGTATCTCAGAAAACTCATGATCTTAAGGAAAGACAGAATGATTAGTGTTATTAGAGAGGGAGGACCATGTGTTAAGTGAGCTCAAAGGAAGACCCCTTCTACAGTCCTGACCTGGGAGGGCTCAGGCACAATGATGGAGATGTCCGGGCGAGTGGGAGGCAGCTGCATGAAGAAAGGGACCCAGACTCTTCCAATGCCTGATGGAATTCTCCTACCTGGGTGTACCACCTTCTTGAGTTCTCATCTGTGAGATGCAAGCTGATGACCATCTTCAACAGCTAGTCATTCCAGGAGATGATGACGGCTACTGTCAGTGACATTGCCCTTTATTTATTTATTTTTAAATGCATTTTTATTGATTACAGAGAGGAAGGGAGAGGGAGAGAGGAATAGAAACATCAATGGTGAGAGAGAATCATTGATCGGCGGCCTCCTACAAGCTCCCTATTGGGAATTGAGCCCACAACACGGGCATATGCCCTGACCAGGAATCGAACTGTGACTTCCTGGTTCATAGTTTGAAGCTCAAACACTGAGCCACCCTGGCCGGGTGTGATATTGCTCTTTAAACAGCAGATCTTTGGGAATAATCCACTTAGAAGGCAACTAGCAAGCATTCATAATCTGTTTTCTGCTAAAAAGTTGACTTGCTGAGGTTGAAATATGATAGAGAGGAATGGGGCTTAAGTGGACCCAGAATGGCCAGAAATACACAATGATATAATTAATATAAAAAATTTTATATTGAACATAAGCCAATATAAAAAATAACAATGATAAAATATAAAAATGCCAAAACCTATTTAAAGGGATGGGAAAAGAATATCACTGTGATTAGGATAGAAGTGATTTAAAAATAATAATAATTTGATAACCGGCCTGAATGAAGACTAGATATTTTCTGAAAATTCTATTTATCAGAATATTATTTCACTATGTTCTCCAAATATTGGATGATCCGTCATCCAAGATCAGTGCCTCGGGCTGTGTGGTCAGGGTCAGCCGGCCAGTCATCTTACAGACCCCAGCTTTGGCTTCTGGCCGGTGACCAAAAAGGAGGTAAAGACTATAGTGGTCAGTTCTCCATTTCACCGTGGGAATTAAACAGAGCTGTTTAGCCTGGCATCAACCTATGAACCAGGAGGTCACAGTTCGATTCCCGGTCAGGGCACATGCCCGGGGTGTGGGCTTGATCCCCAGTAGCACAAGGCAGCCGATCAATGATTCTCTCTCATCATTGATGTTTCTTTCTCTCTCTCCTTCTTCCTTCCTCTCTGAAATTAATGAAAATACATTAAAAATAAATGGAGCTGTTTAGAGCTCTCTATGGATAGTAAATTTTCTTTACATTAAGAAAAAGAAAAGATGTGCACTGGTGACTCAGTACCCAGGATATGATTGTGCTGCTGCTTATAAAAGAAATAGCAGAGGAACTAATGAACCCAGCAGCTGAATGTTAGTTTTTGCGGGATGATTCAGCCACTTCTGTTTGCACCATGAATGTCTAATAAAGGGTGCTGAGGTTCTGAGGGATATATTATCAGTAAGAACTCCATTTTTTTAATTGAAATGAGAGGGCTTCTTATTCGGAATAAAGCTTGCTCTGAAAATGTGCGATGCCTTAACCTGTCTTTTGGACGGATGCTGACCTTTTCTCTCTCCGGTTGCTTCCCAAGGTGTATTATAGAGAAGATGGCGCACGGGCAGATTGTGTTCAAACTTACAGTATCGGAGGAAGAAACCACGTTTTATTATCGCACAGTAAATGGTTTGCAGCCTCCAATAAAAGTAATGACACTGGGGAGAATTCTTGTGAAGAAATGGATCCATCTGAGTGTGCAGGTGAGTAAAATAAAACATATTTAACATTTGGTTAAACATACCAATCTGTCTTCCTTTCTTTCCTTTCAATGGCATCTTCCCCACAGGATCTGAAGCGGGTTCTTTTTAGCTTTCAAGCATGTGCAAATGACGACTCAAGAGAATCGGTATTTAAATGACCTAATGATGCATCTCTTGATAGACCAGCATTGTCCCCTCAAAATTGCTGCAAAAACTCCCACGGAAGCTTAGGACAATGCTATCTCGAGTAATAATACCCTCATGAAATTTTTGTTGCCTTTGGTTAGTATGTTTTCTCTTGTTCAGAAATGCGTGAGGGCTTTTTTTGGTGTCTAGAAGTAACGTTACTGGCCGTGGAAAGACCTGCCTGGCTTTCGCAGCTGCCTTCTACAGATAGCATCTGATGATGGGAATAAAATTTGGCTGTTGCATTAAAATGCTGACCTTAGGACTAATGAACTTGACACATAAGACACTTGGAAGGTGTTATATGATTACTTTAGTTGTCAGCCACAGTTTGTATTAACCTTAGAAGCTGCTAAAGGCTGAGAGAACTGTGAGATGTCTGTTAGTTTATGGTTCCTGGAAGAGACAGGGTTTATCCTTTCGTGTCTGCAAGGCACTGGCTGGGCCTGTGCGGCTAAGAGTCAGCCTTGCCTCTCATGGCAGAGGTACTGTGTGTGCAGTTCTCAGCATATGTTCCCATCGGGGCATCTGGTTAGTGGTCCCTGTGAACCGCATTTGCACCAGGGGGTATATATATATCCCCGTTTTTAAAATAAGAATAATATTTGATTTCTCGCATTTTTATCCCACCCAGCAACAGGGAGTGAGTGGCCTTCCTTAGGCCCTTGAGGATTGTGGTCTGGGTTTTAGAGTCTGTTTCAGCATAGAAATTATTCTTGGTGATACACGTACATTTTGTACATATCTTTGTTGTGCCTGGTTGTAAATGAAATCATGCCATGTATTTGCATAGCTGTGCATGAAAAGCCTTGGGAAGAATATTTAAAATAGCAATACAGAGAGGCCACAATGGTTGATTTCTATAGGAAGGTATTGGTGAAGTGATAGTCAATCAACATTTTATGCCTTATCTGCTCAGCTTTTAGTTAGGCTGTGAGTTTAGCACATGCACTTGGCAGGGAGCCATATTTCTAGGCCACCAGCATTGAAAGGACCTGCAAAGGGGTGGTCATGCCTGATCCCAGGTTAGGACTGTAGAGCAGATGGGTTCAGTTTGTCAGAGCTTACCTCTCATTGTTCAATAGTTAGCAGAGAGGGGCCTAATCTGTCCTATATCTCCAAATGGTCCATTCTAGCCACTGACTAGTACCACAGGACTGGGTTATAGTGTGAAAAATGTGCAAATAGAAACTGCCAAAAAAAGGGGAAATGCAGAAGATGTCAAATCAATATGTTTTCATATGTTGGTATCAACGATGATAAAAAAATTCTTTTGACTTGCCGTTAAAATGTTGCCTTGTCTCTGAGCCTGTGCCATGTGTTGGCAGCGGCGGTTGATTAAAAGCCATCTAAATGGGAAGGGGACCAGGACCGAGTCCCTCTCCTGGGAGTAAGAGGCTCTTAGAGTGCCTCTTGAGATCAGCGTTATCTTCTCAATACACGTCAAATATGAGCCTTTCCTAGTTTAGGCAAAACTTCTTCATAAATCTTTAAATCTTACCCTTTTTTCAAGGAAAGGTTAAAGTACTTGTGATTTAATGAGTCCGCTTTATTTCTTAACTGCCTGACTATCAAGAGAAATCTTGTCCTTTCCAATTTGTACACTTCTATTTACTTATTTTTACATATGTTTCCCCCCATTCTACATTTTATGTTAAAACTATACATCTAAACAGTCATGGACAATGAGAAAAACCATGCAGATCAGCCATGTATTCATCTGGCCTTTATTGGCAGATTCAGGGGTATCCCAGCATTATGAAAATCTTGATTCATTCAAATAAAAGTGAGAGCGAGCGCAGTTATTTATTCTTAATGGGGGATCTGCATAGGGTTTCTTTAGTGGACACCAGTCTGAATATTTTGAAGATATTGTGAAATTTATAGTAATTCATTTTATAGACATTGAATAAGGAAGGTGCTCATTCCTACAATGTTATAGAAAGAGTAGGAAGGATGCAAGGTTAGGAGCAGGGAAGCCTGAGTCGGGTCCCCATACTGTGTTGTCATAAGAAATTCTCTTGACTCGGTTCCTGTGCTTGTGTAACAAGGGATCGGACTGGACGGACTAAACGAGGCGTCCTTGACTTTTACATAAAGACACAAGCAGACTGTGGAGTGAGGCACAGTTTCTGGAAGCGTGGAAAGCTGCTGGGCAGAGTGTCTGGGTGTAAGCCACAGCGAGCTCCGCACGCAGCCCACACCAGGCTCGTGCTGTTTTCTGCTTTCCCATGCTGTCTGGTATTTACACAGAAACATTGTTTGGAGTAGATTTTATGGCCAAGATATGGGCAAAGGCAGCTTGTAATCGTCTCACCATAGAATGGCAAAGAATATATTTTCATATGAAATGTAACTCACTGTTGCATTATTATGTAGCATATGCACTTTCTGTTTGATTTTGGGATTAGAGACTTTCACCATCGCTAGGCATGGGCTAGAACACATAATTGATAGTCTGGGTTTAGTCAAATTGCGAATTGTAAGTCTGTAATTAATGTGTATGCATATTTTTACTTAAGCTCCAATGTGTCCACAGGTCAGTCAATTTATATGGGGGGGGGGGGGGGGCCCGTGTGTGTGTGTGTGTGTGTGTGTGTGTGTGTAAAAGAGAACACATCTTTACTCATGGAATTGGCTCAGAAACCTGAATTTAACTTACAGAGACTTGATGACATAAAATTAATGGATAGATTTCACTGTATACCTTACCTCAGAAAGTTCACTCCATATCAGCTTTCTAACAGCAAAACCAGAATTCTAATTTTCCAAATTTGGAAAAAGAAATGATTTTTTAAACTAATTCGATCCCTTGGCATAAAAAGAGGAAGAAAAAAAGTGCCAGGGAGAGCCATAGATTCTGAGCATTGAAAGTCTAATTTCCTAAACAAAAATGCGGAGGTGACAGTAATGGACCTAACAGCATCGGGGAAACCCCACCTGTTGGAATATGATTAGTTTTTAAATTAATATTCATTCAGAGACTTGAATCTGACGTGATTGCCAATTTAAATTTCACTTTGGGCTTTAATATATTGGTTATTTCAAATTATATCAAGCTGAAATTCGTTATGTCGTATTTTTTGTCCTAAATCTTGAAAAAATCAATTCAATCTTTTTATTATCAAACAGGGAACAATGATTGCATTGGCTGATATTTTTAAGCCCAGTTTTTGTATTACATCAGTATATGCTATCCATATTAAAGAGACCTGTTTTGATTTTCTTTTTTAAAAATGGTTTGAAATACATAAGAGATGATACTTGAGCAGTTTGTTATGTGTTGGTTGAAAAAAGAAAGCACCTTAGAAGTATATTATATTTAATTGCATATCATTTAAAAGTAAGACCTCAGAGTGTCCTATGAAAATACTGGTTTCCCCTAAGTAGTTCCACACATTTTACGGGATACATAGCATCAAAGAATCATCAGTATGGTAACTTATTGTAGTTATGCTGAAATGCAGTAAAACAATTACTAAAATTAGAAACTGTTAGATCCTGCAAATGTGGAAATAAGAAAGGGTTTAGCAGTGGGTTTGTTCACATTCCCTGTGCTATTCTGAAGGCTACTTGATACACTGCCAATTCAAGAGCCACAGATGATTCTAACTACAGTAACATAAAAAAAAAAGAGCAGTTCTGATCTGTTACAAAGAAGGCAGAAATGCATGGGTAAATAAAGTTTTGGGGATCAATAGATGAAGCACAGGAGTTTCATAATTGTAGTTCATGAAATATGTTCTTTTGATTTATGTATTCAATCTGAAAAAGGAAAACTATTGATAGTTCTGGAGAAAAAGAAAATGCAATTTAACCAACATTTGTTAGAATAGATAAACCAAGCCTCTCAATTAATCTCTGCAGTATATGCCCAGGTGCACACTTTGTAAAAGTATTTCCATGTCTCTATTGATTGGGGGCTCATAAAACGTCCGTGCAGTCTTCGGTGAGTGGTGTGTCCTGGGATTCCCATGGGAACACCACGTCAGCCCCCACCCCGTGAAAAATCCAATCCCTGTCGTCGCATTAATACTGTTCATTGCCTTTAAATATAACTATGTGTATGTGTCTGTATTTGTAAAACATTGTTAATTTGTGCAAAGCCTTCTGTTTGTACCCTGCCAGCTTAATATCACCCAAGTCAGTTGAATAGCTTTAATTATGCACAATAAGTAAAGATCAATAGACTTTAACAACGCTTTTCACAATAATCAGTTAAAAATAATGATGATAACAGCTGCCATTATCGAGTACTGATTATATGCACCATATTAAACATCGTAATGCTTAATTTTCAAATGTTAATGATAGTTCTGTGACATTGGCATATATTTTCCCCATTACAGAGATGAGAACAGTGAGCCTCTGGCAGGTTAAATTATCTGCCTAAATTTAGTCTCAAGTTTCTGTGCACAATTCCCGCTGACCTGTAACTGAAAAAAAATACTAAAGTGCCATGAACCTGGGTCACCAGGATTTATCAACAAGTCCTTTGCCCTCAATCTCCACCTTTCTCCCACCAGCAAGTCCTTGGATTTTAATTCCTAAGCAGCTCTCCGAGCTGCCCACTTCTCTGCATATCTCCATGGCCACTGCCGTGCAAGGTGGCCATAGCTCACTGGGGCCCTGAGAGTGACGTCACGACCCTTTAGTTTTGTCCTCATATAAGTTGGTTTTCTTCACTGCAACCAAAATGGTCTTTAGGACAGGTAATCTGCTCAGGTCATACCTTTTCCCTCCTCTGCCTCCTTCCACATATCCTGTTCCTGCATAAAACCTTTCAATAAGTCCCATGGAAACATTCTAACATG